AACAAGGAAACTATAATACTACATAATGATTTTTTGATTTACACACAGTACACAGGTACAAGTACTACAGAGGAAATGACTTGATAAGTGTTTCCCAGTTGTTTGGTATTTTATTTTTTATTAAAGTGCATATTGAATCGTCTGGATCACAGTCATTACAGAGTAAATACAACATGTTGTGACCACACAGTTAAAGTGTGAGCAGCTCGTTCAAGGCTAATTTTACTCAACTCAAGGCCCCGCAGCAAAATACCCATCAGGCCTTTCAGCGCCGGCGTGTGAGAAACCAATGAAAACACTTTCACAAGGAGGCTTAAAAATTCAACATCTTTAATAAACAAAGTGTTTCGTATTTACAGCAAGGTTTTCGCTTGATGGCTAAAATTCGGTGACCCTCCTGAAGGAGCCGACGATGGCGCAGGTGGCGCACCAGTCGCGGTACCTCCTGTACTCCCCAGGTCTGAGGAAGTACTGCCTGCCTCTGTAGTTGGGGTACTCGTAGAAGATCCAGTAGCCGTTCATAAGATTACAGGAGTAGACGTGGCGGTGGTGGAAACGGTCAGACACACAGGGACAGTCATCCATGAACTCCATCATGTGGCCGCTGAAGTCCGGCTTCTCGTAGATACGCAATCTGTAGGAGCCTCGGTACTGAGGCACCGTGGGAAAAATAGATTGTGCGGTCAACAATCTCACTCAGACTTCACTCAAACTTAAGGCGTATATATGAACGGACTCACCAATGGAATCATCCTGCACGAGCGGATGCAGCTGCTGAAGCCCATCCACCTCTGGTAGTCCGGATACTCGCCCCTCCTCATGAAGTACTGGTGGCCCATGAAGTTGGGTCGCTCGTAGATCATGAAGCAGCCGCTCTCCACCCTGATGGAGTTACATCGGCTGAAATACGAGTGAAGGTCCGTGCAGTCGTTGCTGCACTCATAGCTCCGACCCTGGAAGTTCTTGTCCTCGTAAAAGATGATCTGTGAGCGGAGGAAGTAACACGAGCCTGATGTTGGAGGACGTGTGTTCCACGTGAAATGAGATGACTTTTAATCTGAGCAGAGGAACAACAGTACTCACCTTGCCCATGGTCTCCGTTGGAGAGATTCCCCATGTTTTCAGGGCTTTTTATACCACCTCTCCACAAACAAAGCATTGTTATTCAAATTCTCCGGTACATGTTTACCTTTTTGTTGGTGAGAAATATGGATTTGTATTTGAAAAAAAAGGGGGATAAATAATTAAGCGGTTTAGTGTTTTGACGTGCATGGACAAGGGAAAAGACTAGTATGGTATCCACACATCCAGTGAACAATGGCTGCAGAACAATATGGAAAAGCCCTCTGGCATTAAATATGTTGCGTAACCGCACAGGAAGCCATTCACTGTCGCCACCGCTCTACCTGAGCAGCCCCACTGCTAATAAATAAGTGTGTTCTGTGCTGTTCCTCTGTGCGCTGCCCTGGACATGAAGGTTTTATGAGACACTGCACAGAGTTGTGATGAACTCTGTGTGATCTGTGTGTTTATTAGATGCTGGAACAAACTTTTATTTCATTTTCCGACCTTTGATTCTCGGTCTCAGATGCTGCAGGATGGTTTTGTTTCAGCGTCTGGCGGTGGACGACAGTTCCCTTGAGCGGCCGTGTTTGACTCCTTCAAGCATCATTTCCACTTTGAAAACACTTTATGAGATCTGCATGTCGTCCCAACATCAAATCCAGATATAATATTACATATA